AGCCGCAATGACATTGTCGACCTGGCTTGCACCTGGCTCTCAGGTTGTGATAAGCAGCTATTCACGCGGTATGAGGCCGCAATAGCGAGCCTCAGCCACAGATGTATGGTTGATTTCCCGTCCCCGCCAATCCACGTATGCCACCCAAGCAGTCCCGCAGAGGATCGAGCCAACGCATACCTTTCTGAAGGCTCAGGGTCGCTCTGGACTGCAGTGCGTGAGACCGTATCCCTGCTGCGCTTCACCTCGGATCCTCGCGACTTCGCTCAAGGCTCAACCTTCAGCTTAGGCGCATACAGGAAGGGCGGCATCGTGGGACTCTGCCGGGAAACGACTGGGCATCCGGCCACATGCCGATTGCTTAACACCGCCATCATTGCCGTTAACCGGTCCCACACATGGACCTCCATCGCTGTGAACTGGGACAACTGCACAGAGCCGCATGTGGATCGGCATAACGACTGTTGCCCTAGCTTACTGCTGGGATTGTCGCACCATAACGCCGGTGAGCTTTGGTTGGCGGATCAGAATGGCAGCTCCTACATGGAAATCAGTGATACCTTGCTGGCCGGGACCAAGCTGTGTACAAGCGCGTCAGGAATACTCTTTGACGGGCACCAAGTGCATCACGCTACCTGCCCGTGGAGCGAGGGCCACCGAGTAATCCTAGTGGCCTACTCCTCCATACAGTCGGCAACCAAACTGCTGCCGGGCACCAAGGAGTTTTTGGCTGAAACAGGTTTCGTACTCCCGTAGACCGACTGCACGCTCTCACCACTAGAGCAGCTCGCCAGCCAGATGGTCTTCATGAGCCAAGCACACTGCTGCCCCGGGGACCGAGCAGACGAGTGGCCAGGAAAAGTCGCGCCCTGCTCCATGGTGTGCTTCGTCAAGTCTCTAAGCCCTGAACCGTCTGCCACCGCACCTTACCCCCCTAAGCCCTAAGACTCATTCGTCCTGCCCACTCAGGTCCATGGCGAATGTCTGGGTAAACGCACCTGCTCCGGCCACGGCCACCGTCCGCTTAAGGCTGTGCAGCACACCTAACTGCTTTCTCAGGTATGTGGACAACGGCCATCTCCACTGCTGTAGGCAGTGTAGACGTACAGGTGCTGGCCACACCCGCAGGTGCCGTCAGCAGCAGCGCGATCTTCGTGCTGCAACGGCGGACCATGCTCGTGCCCGAACGCATCGAGGAGCCCCACGCCATGACCGCGACCTGGACAGGCCAGTTTGCGACGTACAAGGATGTGGTCGAGCTGTCAATCCTGGCTTCCTGCAGTGCTGCTCGCGTTGTGGGCCCAGCAATGGTGCGCAGCACACTCGCCGATGCCACTCCGCACAACCAGCAGCAGCAGCACCGATCCAGATGGTAACGACACTTACCCCGACAACGGCGGCTACCACACCGATCCTTGGCAATGCGGCTCCAAGCGCCACAACTCCAGCTACTACGTTCGCCTCAGCTGCTGCCTCTGCTGCTGCCTCAGCTTCTGCTTCGTCTGGATGGGGCCACCTTCAGGGACAGGAGGTAGCCACGGAGCACCCTGCTACTCCTGCTGCGGAGCTCACGACGGCTGAGCTCGATGAGCTGGACTGAGCTGGAATGATTGGAGACTAGCAACGCACTAGTCGACTTGAGAGCTCAAGGAGCTCAGGGGGCGAGGCAACCTATGGGCCTGTACAGCTGGCCACTTAGTTCCTCATCTGTGAAAACAGTTAGTTCCTTCTTTTTGCTCTACCTTATTTCTAAGTTTTCTAGGATCGGCATTCGTGCCCGGGTGAGGCGGCCCTACGGGGCGCTCACCCCTTTACCGGATGTGCAAAGCACAGCGCTTCGGTGCCGGGCTCCTGAGGAAGCCTGTCCGCTCCCAGCCTCGCAAGGCGTTTCTCGGGACGCTGCGCTCAGAGAGAGAGAGATGATGATGATGTTGATTATTATTAGGGTTTAGGTTTTAGGGTTTAGGGTTTAGGGTATGATGATGATTAATGCTACTAGTCTTACTGTTTTTTAAAAAAATTTGACGGCATCTGGTGCGCAGGTCTCATATTGAAGGACCGGTCCTAAACTCCATTCAGTCTGCACCCCTCTGAGGCTTTCAGAGAGAACCCGTTGCTTTGATTGCAGTGTAGCAGCCGATCCGATCCTTATTTTGAACTACTACTAAAGCCTACTTTGGTGTAGGGTCCCTAGACATACATTGACATGTTGGGGTTTAGGGTTTAGGATAGGGTGGAGAATAGGAACCCACAAAGAAGAAGGATATCTCAGTTTAAGGTACAGATGCAGCAACAGTAAGAAGAGCCTGAACTGCTATAGCAACATGCGATAAGGATTGGAATTATTTCTGACGGTACATCCCCTTACCGTCCCTATATTAAGCAGACTCCAAATTCGCCCGAAAACCCTCTGTTGATTGTTAAAGGGCCCCGAACATTAGACACTGATCCTCTAACACATGCCTCGATGTCAAAGAGGCTCTAAACCCTAAACCCTAAGCACGAGGGACGGCTCCTGTTGTAGTGTTGATCGCTGCAACTCGCATAACTACCCTCCACTGTGGCAACCGTGGAGGGTTTAGGGTTTAGGGTATGTAATCCGAATCAGAACCCGTCCGGACTTTAGAATTGGACCCTCTCCGACCCCGCGACACCGCGGGGTCATGCAAATCGGGTCGTCACACAGCAGACATCCTTCCACGCGGTTGGAGCCTTTCCAATCTCAGAAAATGTCAGTTCCATCTGCCGCTAAACCGTAAACAACCCTAAGCCCTTAAGCCCTAAACTGTGTCTAGGTCGTGAAGCCCGAAATTGTTGATAGCCCCAAACTCGACTAAACCTTAAGCCTAAGGCTCTAAACCTGCAAGTCAAAGCCCACAAAGCCTGAAACATGAAGGTGTGACCAATTGCTGATGGACACAATCCCACATTTCCCATTATCCGAAAAGTGCATAGTTTTTAAAAGCTTTTGGATCCTTGAGGCAAGCAGTGCGAGATTTTTGTCCATCAGCCGCATCACCCTGAACCCTAATACCGAACCTAAACCAGCGTCAACCCTAAACCGCAGGTGTGACGAATCGCTTCTATTTCAGTTTTCTCAACGACGCCCAGTGGCGTGTCATCGGTCGGACAATTCGAAGGTGCCTCTCCAAGACAAGTTGCCTCAATTGCTCAGGGTTTCAATCAGGTTTCCGGGCTGTGTTTTATTATGAACAAGTGGGGAACGCTGCAGGCTAATGCTGCTATCTGTCCATATGCGTATATCCATAGCTTCGCGACTTTCTTAGAGTTTGATGTTTACGGTCATAATGGGTCCCCTGATGGTGTGAGGCTCACGAGGTAGCTCTCAGTGTTGGGGTTCTGGGTAAGTGCTTGAGGCGTCCGGTGATCTGGGGGTTTCCAAAAATAGGGGACCCTAATATAGTACCCTAAATATTAGGTTCCTTATTATAAGGACCCCCAAAATAGGGTACCCCTTATTTTCGGAAACTCCCATCTAAGAAGATGGGTCTTAGGGGTGATGTGACCTTCAGTCATGTGACGGTATCGGGGCATCTTTGATGGCTTCGCAGGGGGCATCTCAACCTTCCAGGGTTTAGCTCTATGTTGTGTCTGAGGTTTGGGATGATTCAGAGTCCAGCAGCCGCCCGTACTTATTGCTGGTGTAGGGCATCTTGAAGCTTTTACTCCTTGTCACGTCGAAGCTGAGCAGCATCTTTCTTTGGTGTTCAGATGTTTTTTTCCAGCACACTACCGCGGTTTAGTGTGGGTACTACAGATAATCTATAAGGATACTTTCAGTGTTTGGTAAAAGTATTACGCGGGATATGGGCCGCAAGGTAAAATTTCCGAGGTTGCATTGCCGAGGAGTGGACAGCAGCTTTGCAAACCGAAAGCCGGAAGCACTAAAATCCCTAAACCCTAAACCTTGTGAGTAGTACTTACAGTTTGAACTTTCAGATTCGCGGCTTCCTGTTTAGAGCTGAGGGGTCGCGGGTTGAGCCCTGACATTGAAGAGGTTCGAGGCTGCAAGACAACTGTAGTAGTAATTAACGTAGTAGTGACACTTATCGCTAGTACTATTAAAAACCCTAAGCCCTAAACCGTTGAGTAAAGCTGTGCTGGTCCTGTGTCTTGGCCCACCGGCCTGGATGCCTTAAAGCCAATCCCAAACCCTACATTACATAAGTGAGCAATCCTCTTCTCCCACCATGACTTCCAGATTCTGTTGAACACGAAAGCCCCCATCCCCGTAAGCCCAAACCCGAACACCCGAAGCCCAGAAATCTTGAAACCCAAACCTTAAACCCTTACCCCAACCCCACCGAAAACCTTGAAACCTAAACCCCCCTGAATCTCTACACAGAGGCCGGCGAACAGAGAACGCTTCGGACAGTTTGCCGCTCGCTTGGCGGCCACGTTGTTTTTGAGATTAGTCAGGTTTTACATCTATACGAGGATTCAGGATAGGGATTTAAGGTTGCGGTTTGGGGGTAGGTTTGGCTTTGACTGAATGCAGGAGTTACGATGTCCAGTGCTTTTTTGGCTTGTTTTCAGTCCATTTTCACAAAGGCCGCGGGCTTAAACCCTTAAGCCCTAAACCGCAAAGGGTTCAGAGCTTACGAGCAGCTACTTCGAGAACTATCTAGCCCGTCATGTATCCACATCTGATATTCCGGGGGGCTGGGCGTCGGAGTTGCGTCTGGGGCGCTATCAAGACTGCCAACCCCCTCAGCCGCCCCAAACCTCAAGCGCCACTGCCCCAAGGAAGGCTTTAGGCGGAAGGGCTCATGAGACTGCGTATAGGTGCCGCGATATTCAAAGTAGCAGTCCTCCAAAGTGGCTTGCTTATACTGGGCTTTGGAGTACCATACTTTAATATTTTTTTGGGGGACCTGCTCCTTAAAGGAACCATTATGAAATAAAAGTCGCTTCTTTTTTCTCCCAGGTTGCTTCAAAGCCCAGTATAGGAGCCTGACGAAGCAAAAGGCACCGTGTCCTCCACTCTGCCCCATGTCTGCTGTGTAACCGTTGCCTTTGGAATACACCCCCCAAGCCTTGAAGCCTTGCCCGATTGTGGGCTTACTTAATATAGGGGCCTTAAGAATTACGAATAGTGTTTAGGGGGTTCCTTATGACATTATAAGATAATGGGCCCCAAAACCTCATTCTAACTAGTAGAGATTTATATAGGGGCCTAGAGAATTACCTATAATAGTATCTTGGGGGCTCCTTACTTTAAATCCTAGTATCATGGGCCCCAAAACCTCATTCGAATTATGAAGGCCCTATATTACTCGGGATTCGAAGTGCCAGGCTGGTTCCTTTCAAAAAGGCCGCTTTCCGGAAATTGAAAGTCTTATGAGATCTCATCGCCCCTTAGGGGTTAGGGTTTAGGGTTTAGGGTTTGGGGTTTAGGGTTTAGAGTTTAGGGTTTGGGGTTTAAGGAGTCAGATGATCCTTGAGGTTCAAGATGCCCCATCGACCTCCGCAAATACCTCAAAACAAGTCCCGAAGAACTATGTATGTTCAACAACCCCTAAACCCCAAGACCCTAAACCCCTAGACCCTACACTCCTCAACCCTAAATCACCTGAACCCTGAACTCTGAATGGAGGTCGGGGAGCGGCTCTACCAAAGCATTTTGCGCGGTGAGGACTGTCAATTCCGCCTTAGGTTCCAGGGTTTCTACGTTCGGGTTTCGGGTTTAGCTTTTTGCAGAACTTGCCAAGCTTATATCTGCTTTTGAGCACAAGAATATATGTATACATGTACATGTATATACGCATAGCTGCCTTAGAAACATGTGCTCGTTGATTCGTTCAATTACAGTTATGTATTGGCATGAAGGTGTGTATACACGTATACACATATATGTATATATGTGCAAGTTATAAAGTTTTGCACATATAGAAAGACAGGTAGATAGATAGCTAGCTAGATAGATAGATAGATAGTTCGATAGACAGATAGATAGAGGGATAGATGGATAGGTGGATGCAGTGGATGCATATGCATGGATGGAGGGATGGATGGATAGAAGGATGGATGGATGGATGGATGGATGGATAGATGGACGGATGGACGGACGGATGGATGGACGGATGCATAGATAGGTAGGTAGATAGATAGATAGATAGATAGATAGATAGACAGATATGCAAGTATATGCAGGTAGGTATGTAACAAATAGGCAGGTAGATAGGTAGATAGATACATAGATAGAGAGCGAGATAGAGAGATAGATGGGTAGGTAGATAGTTAGACCGATAGATAGATAGAGAAATATAGATAGGTAGATAGATCGAAGGAAAGAAAGACAGATAGACAGGTACATAACAAGATAGGTAGATAGATAGATCGGTAGTAAGTTAGATAGTCAGATAGATATGAACATAAACATAGATATATAGATAGATAGATATTGAGAGATAGATAGATAGATAGATAGATAGGTAGGTAGGTAGGTAGGTAGGTAGGTAGATAGATAGACAGATAGATAGATAGATAGATAGATACATAAGAAGATAGATAGACAGATAGCTAGATAGATAGATAGATAGATAGATAGGTAGTTAGATCGAAAGAAAGAAAGATATATAGCAAAATAGATAGATCGATAGATCGATAGGTCGATAGATCGATAGATAGATCGATAGATAGATAGATAGATAGGCAGATAGATAGATGTATGGGTCGATAGATAGACCGATAGATGTGCATGGGGGCTTGGTGATGAGAAACAAGGATTCGGGTTCTTAGTATGGTTCAATTTCTTTGTAAAAGTATGAAACCGGAGAAGCTTCGCTCTTTACAGTCTCCATATCCTCAGGATCAGGGCGACTGGTTTCAAAGGGTGGAGGTCTTACGGTTGCATTGATCCTCACGCTACCAAGCAGACACTACACGAGCAGTGGATGATTATGGGCATGCCAGGCACCGGGCAGCCTTTGCAATTGCACAGGTAATGGGAAGACCTGTACGAGGGGGTAGGCCTTGATTGCAAAATTCGTGGTGTTCTGAAACATTTCGGGGAGCCATTTCGAAACCCGAGAATGGGTAATGGCTGACGGAAGGAGCTGAAGTCGGACGTACCAGACGACAGCCCTGGCGCACCACCGCAGGCTCGAACGGGTGTGTGTTGGGGGCCTTAATAAGCACGAGGGGGGTGTTTGGATTTTTTTCTGGCATGGTCGTTTAGGGACTATACTAATATATGTCAGACCACTCCAGACCTCTATACATTAAACATTGGTGGAGAAACCCACTGTCGATGCGCGCATCCCAATCCCTAACGTATTCGGGCAACAATCTTACATAGAAGTGTTTGGTAAAGGGTTTCATGCAGCGACCTTACCTTTTGAGGCTTCGGGGCTGTAGTGATATTGCCATATCGTGGTGAAGGAGAACCTGCTTTGGTTTAGGTCTGTACCTATACGAACCTAGACAGCCGTTGGGTACAATACCTGTTCCGTCGTTGTCGGCCCCTGTAGTCGTATAACAGCCCGAAACCCACCTGCAGCCCCCGAAGCGCTGCAGTTTGAACCCCTATTCTTAGGCATCCGGGGGTTGGCTACAAGTCGTTGCCATGGGCCAGGACAGCTTCGCACCCATCGGCCAGTGGCCAAAGCTTTCTGCCCTGACGAGCCGCGGCAGCAGATGGACAACTTCACGCCATACCCATCTGTTATCCCCAAGCATAGCAGAGCTAAGTACATCTTCAGACAATATAACCCGGGCCCCAAGGCATGCGACATGCTTCGATGTTAATTTTGCGGCTCCCTGCGAAAGATGCATGTCAAAGCCCTCAGCGATGTTTGTCCGTTGTCACGACCCAAGAAGTTCTGGCATGAAAAGACTTGCAGCCTACTCCCAGAAGCCTTGCATGCCCTAAACCTCTAAAGCCCTCAAAATCCCAAAGCACAACAACATCAATCTATAAATTTGTACATAAATTATATTTATATATGATACGTATATATATATATAT